CTTCTACACTACGGCACCGATGTCTACCCGCTACGGTGCATCTACTGAGAAGGCAAGAAGCCTACCCGGATCTACGGGTTACGAGGTACACATCCATCGATTCTAACAGATAAAGCTCGCATTATATATTTGTGAAAAGGAAATAGGCACTCAGTCGTGTGGCGGTTCAGTGCGCTAGTTTGTTGTGAGCATATCATTGGTCACGATTCTAAGGGCACGCACAACGGACGCTCGAGTGCCATCTATTGGCAAAAAAAAAAAACTCCTCAAACGCTATTGAATGAAGTGAGAGAGGGAAGCCCGCGTCTCGTGAGGCGACGGCAGCGGCGCGTGCTCCGAGGGACGTCTTCATCCAGACGGCGCGCGCGGGGATTAGCTGTGGCCAACGTCCTCCGGTGTCACCTTGCCGTTTTTCTATAGAAAAATAAAGTATCTCTGTCAACAACTATGTGTTTTATGTAGTTTTAACATATGAAATTTTTTACGTCATAGAATTAAGATCCAACAACATTCATCCTCTTTCTATCTCTAGCTTTTTTCTACTTCTAGATAATCATAAATTATAAGATTACATATCTACAGATCCACGTATGAAATAATTTTTTTTTTAGGACGAGAGGACAAATCGCGGAGCGAGGTGGTGCTGGACTGCCTCAACCACGTCTCGCGCGCGCTTCTGCAGGTCGATGTCCGCTTCGAGACGGTCCGGGCCGTGCAGGCCAGCATCAGGAGCACCGTACCTCGCCGCATCAGGTCAGCATCAGGTCCGCGTTTCTCCAGTCCCTTGCCGCCGGCACCGACAGGCGTCAGATCCCATCACGAGCTGCGCAGGACGCTGAGAGAGTAAGAGTGGGAAAATTCATGTGTTTTTTTATACTAAAACATATATACGTTGTATAGCATTTTTAAAAATAAAAGAAGAAATACACATACAATATAATTATACCAATCCTATACGGGCAACAAGCATGAACCATACATCTCTTGATGCTTTGGTAGTGCTAGTTATGTAAGTAATTTATTAGCTTGTGACATGAACTAATTAAACATGTCAATATATGGAACCTGCAATTTTAGCTATTGAAATTTTTCAGTTACTTATAACTGGTTCAATATTTGATTTATGAGAAAGAAGATTTATGTTATATTTGATTTATGAAATATATATTACATTATATATAATATATATGATTTACCTGAAGGATTTGTTTTGTATCAATTATTAACATAGTGGTATATAGAAATGATATTCATAGTTGATCATAGCTACATGCAGGCATTAATTAATTTGTGGAGAATCAAATAGACACCAGCTGTCTATAGGTCATATGAGCTGTCTGTTTAACCATCTGTGTTGTAAATTCAAGAACTTACAGATTGCAGCCCTAACTCTGGTTCTGAAGCACGCAGTATATAAACCTCTCTTTAGCCCGGAAAGGCAACGTAGGAGTATCATACAGCTGTACAGTTTTCTTTTTACCTCTCATTTGTGTATAGCTATAGTAATATCTGCTCATGTATATACTCACATCAACCCTACACACCACACTTACACCATACATACACAAACAAACGTACAACTATATTCACGTTACCGGATCACGTCCTTTATAAGATCACTGGATCCAACTGGGGATCCGTAGACGACGCGTCGCATTCCCAGCCGTACAGGTTTGGTTGTCATAAAGAGAGAATCGTACTTGTTTAAGGAAAATAGAGTGCAGATTTGGTGCAGGTGGACAAAGCAGATGCATGCTTGCAAAGTTGTTTGCCACAGCCCACAAGGCCACAGGGAGAGGGATCGGATCGGTGTAGGAGACCACACGCTGCCGACATGACTGACTGACTAATGACTCGATCCACATCCACTCCGCTGCGGGCATCCAAGTCAAGATCACGATTATGTCGATACATGCACGTGTCCGGTGTCCGAGCCACCTAATCCGCTGCATGTGCATAGGGCGGTGGACAATCCCGATGAAACCCCCGGCCGTGTTTTCAGTCTCACTAGAAACTACGCGCGGCTTTGCCGCGCTACACGCCGTGGCAGGCCAGTGAACCTATATTTAAAAAAATAGTAGGGCCAGTGAGCCTTTAATTGTATAGAGAGAGGGGATCGTAAAGCCGGTAAAATCACTCAATCATTTTATTTTATACGTGGTATAGGTAAGCTACCGTAAAAATTTCATAGCAATTTGAATAAAGAAACTAACTCTATTAATTATTTATAAAAAATTCTAGAGAAATCTAGATCACATTAATAGCAAAAAATTATACTAAAACATGTGATGTTATATGTTTACAGGACAGTGCTAGTTGTGTAGAGTTCAACAAACTTGGTTTGGCATTTTTTTTATTTTTATTTGTTTTATTATGTTCTTTACAAAATTTCAACCGTTTTAGATAAATAATAAATTCGCAAGAAAATAGAAAAATGTCGTCGGGCCGAATTCGACCTAGTAAGGCCAGGTCCGGTGATATACAGGCCCGAGTGGGAGTCAGGCCGGCCCATTTAAAAGGCCTGGATTGAGGGTTGATTTCGGTAAAGTTCAAGGGCTTTTTTGAAAAAAAAACTGAGAGGAGGCCTAGACTGCGGGTTGATTCGACTAAAGTTCGAGGTCTTTTTTGCAAAAAGATCAGGCCTCGCATGATCTGAGCCGTCCGTGCGGCCGATCCGATGGCCGGGAAAAGCGAGCGACGTGGCCACGCTGCCTGGCCCTCTTTTGGTAGCAGGATTCCTATGGTAAGATGAAGACACCTACACACAACACACACATACGTGTGTCTCCTACTTGCTACATACATAGACTCTTTTACGGACTTGTATATAGTACTCAAAGCAGGCTCAATGTAACATTATTACTTGTATACTGGATTTGATCGTGTTAGACATAGCAGGTATGCATAAGTCGATGGACAACCCACAAATAAAATATTCTTATTTTCCATGCCTCTACTTAAAACATGTACTACTACATTGACAGGCTCCAAATAATAATGGAGGCAGGCATAGTAGCCTGCCACCTCCGTTAATAGAGGGGGTCTCCGGGGAGAAGAGTCCACCTCAGTTAACAATTAACGGAGACGGGACTTAAGATGACCGTCTTCGTTATTGGACCATTAATGGAGGCGAACACTGCAAGTCACCCGTCTCTGTTAGTCCTTTAATGAAGGCCATCGTCGATAGTCAGCTGCCTCTATTAACAATCTATCACCGGAGGTGGTCGTCTTAACGCGACCACCTTCATTAATCCTTTAACGGAGGCGGTCCACCTACACCAACCACCTTCGTTAATAGGTCATCAATGGAGGCGGTCAGTTGAAGACGGTCATCTCCGTTAATGATTAACAGAGATGACTGCCTTACCTTGCCCGCCACCGTCAACGAAAGGCAACAAATACAACAACCCAACCACTCCATCTTCTTTCTCCAGAAGCCTCCACATTATTTTTGACATGCTAGCGAGCATAAAATACTATAGTGCTCATTCTTACCGTCTTGTTTTAGGGGGGGGGGGGTATTCATGAGACGACATCATATTTGGATGCAGCGGATTAGGTGGCTCGGTTCACGGAAGTCGTTATGCATGCTAGTGCTAGGGACGAATGGCTACACGTGTAAACGAATGAAACGGATGTAGTGACGAAATTGCGTGTATACTGTGCTAGGTGCCAGCGCTTGCACCATATATAGTAGTTTGTGAATAACCAAAGCACAAGCACGTGCCTACTAGTAGAAAGTTTGGCAAGGAATGAACAGTGTAAGAACCCATGCTGCTGCTCTGACCTATAACAGAGAGACGACTGACCCGATCCAAGTCAAACTAGTACGTACTACACCGGCTATGACCCACCAAGTTGCATTGGAATCGCACGCACATGTGTCCACACCACGTAGCTACTCCTACTACGGAGTGCTCTATGTGAAATGTATCATGATGTCGATAGAAAAATGCATGTCCCTGTCGATGTCGTTGCAAGTGCCAGCAACACTAGGTTCGCTCTTGGCTTGTTAATCCAGTCGATCTATTCTATCGTCGAGAAGATATAATACAGTTATTATACAGAAGATGTGTTGCGCAGCAGAGCTAGCTGTGTGTGATGTGTACTACGTAGTAGCACGGATTCTGTACATTTCTGTCAAACAAACACTCCAGACGCGCCAGCCAGAATGGACATATGCTTGCATGCTCAGCTTACACTATAGTCCTATGTGATGATATATAATATCTATATCTATAGAACGTCACAGGGCTCAGTGCTGTATTACTCCGTACCAGGTGGCATGCATGGCCGGGTGCAGTGTATGTGGAGCGTGAAGCAGCGAGGAAACTGCACATGCATGGTACGCAGCAAATGTTACTATGTGTGGTTAAAGAATATTATTTGTGGGGTGGTGTCGCATAAAATAAAATTACCTTTAATCACCACCTACCACCGTTCACTTGAACACATGCAGATGCAGCTTTTCTTCCTACTTTAGGTCTTGTTTAGTTCTCAACTAAATTCTTAAAAAGTGTTACAGTAGTTATCACATCGAATCTTGCGATACGTGCATGAAGCATTAAATGTAGACGAAAAAAAACTAATTGCACAGTTTGGTTGGAAATTACGAGACGAACGTTTTGAACCTAATTAGTTCATGATTGAACACTAATTGCCAAATAAAAACGAAAGTGCTACCGTGACCAAATTCTCAAAATTCGCGAAATAAACACAGCCTTAGTCCAAGATGATGCGCTCGATGCAAATATAGAAATAATAATGGAACAAGTGGATGGATGGATGGATCAGACCGGCCGATGCAATGCCATGCATGCATGCCACGATGATCGATGTGGCCCGATCCGGTCCGACCATGTGTGAAGAAAATATCCATCCATAACCGCCCCGCCTATAAATGAATATGATCATGACTCGTGGAAGCCACACACACCATCACTACCCATCGACACAGCACTGCAGGGTGCAACGCAAGCGAGCCAGATCGATCGAGCAAAATGGCCAGGTCCAGCAGTAGAGTCGCAGTGGCCGCCGTCCTTGCGGCAATAGCCATTTGCGCCGCCGTCTCGTCGGCCACCGTGACCGTGAACGAGCCCATCGTCAACGGCCTCTCCTGGAGCTTCTACGACGCGTCCTGCCCCTCCGTGGAGGGCATCGTGCGCTGGCACGTCGCCGACGCCCTCCGCCGCGACATCGGCATCGCCGCGGGACTCATCCGCATCTTCTTCCACGACTGCTTCCCGCAGGTACGTACGTAGGAGTACATCCATGTCGCCGACTTGCACCAGCAGCTAGCTGTGCACTGCTCTACTGCTACTATATGTCGTTGGTGTGGTGATGCGCTTGAATGCTGACACCAAGCAATGCAAATTTAGGGCTGCGACGCGTCCGTCCTCCTGTCGGGTTCCGACAGCGAGCAGAATCTGGGACCCAACGGGACGCTCCGTCCCGAGGCGAGAAAGCTCATCGACGACATCCGCGCCGCCGTCCACGCCGCCTGCGGCCCCAAGGTGTCCTGCGCCGACATCATCACGCTAGCCACCCGGGACGCCGTCGTCGCGGTAAGTCCATCGCCTCGCCGGACCACGTCCACGTAACCCACGCACCCAAGATTTATTTTAAGCATGCGCAACCGACAAAGCAATGCATGCAATTCATGCAGTCTGGAGGTCCCTTCTTCGAGGTGCCTCTGGGCCGCCGCGACGGGCTGGCGCCGGCGTCCCGCGACCTGGTCTTCACCCTGCCGAGCCCCGACACTGACGTGCCCACGCTGCTGGGGAAGTTCAAGAACCGGAGCCTCGACGCGGTCGACCTCGTGGCGCTCTCCGGCGCGCACACCGTCGGCCGCGGCCACTGCAGCTCCTTCAACAGCCGCCTGCCGCCCAACGCTGACGACGGCACCATGGACCCGTCGTTCCGGCGGACGCTGGCGGCAAAGTGCGCCAAGGACCCCAACGCGGCGCAGGTGCTGGACGTGCGCACGCCCGACGCCTTCGACAACAAGTACTACTTCGACCTCATCGCCAAGCAGGGGCTGTTCAAGTCGGACCAGGGACTCATGAACGACGCCAACACCAACCGCACCGCCACGCGCTTCGCGCTCAACCAGGCCGCCTTCTTCGACCAGTTCTCCAGGTCCATGGTGAAGATGAGCCAGATGGACGTGCTCACGGGCAACGCCGGAGAGGTCCGCTTCAACTGCGCCGTGCCCAACGCCCGCCGCGTCGATATCTCATCAGGCCAGCTCGACACCGCCGCCGGCGACGAGGGGCTCGCGGCCGACGCGTGATTACAGCTGCAAAAGAGGCATCAGCATCTCATCGCGGCCGTGCGTGTGTGTCACCTTGCTAGCGCAGCAGTGTTGCATTTACATTGTCCGCGCATGCATGCATCCTATCGTCGTGTTAGCTTTTTAATTTTGTTATAATAAATGGCTAAATGGCTGATAGTTTCTGCAGATAATAAGCCGCTGATGCTGTTTCTAGAAAAACACTGTACCGCGAACTTGGCAATATATCCTTTTTGTCTTTGCCTTTTCTTGCCCTAAAAGTGGCGATTACATGTCCCACAAGTGTCTCACGGAGGACGAAGCAGTCCCCTGTACTGTGCATAAAGAAAGCCAGCCTCGACTGCTGGACTGTTGCTAGGGAGGAAAACAGATAGAAACGGGCGGGAAAACACTCTCATTTTCGGCTCTGTTCGGTTGGTCCACTGACCGCTGATGCTGATTTATACGACTGATTTGTTGGAAGAGAAAAATACCGTACCATAACTGATAAGTCGGCTTATAATGGCAGCTGAACATATAGGCCGTTTCTATATTGTTTGACGGAAATGTAAGCGAGTTCGGAAAAGCCGGAATCGGAAATGGGATCGGGTCACGCGGACATATAGGAACGAACTAATATGGACGGAAACTAACCGAAAACAGACGGAAGCCGGGAACTTAAGGCGAAATGTTGTATGCTACACGTGCAAGGCTACAAGCCTGCAAACTTGCGAGCACCCACCAATCACCAGTGCACCACCATACGACCATACAGAAGCAGCAAGCAACAGCACGCTTGCACCTGAACTGCACCACGCTGCAACAGTGCAACAGTGCAGGTGCAAGCACGAACCAAGCAGCACTAGAAACCAGTCCTAGTAAAAGATCTGCCCCCCTCTCGCTCTAAACAGTGCAAAGCAAGCTAGTAGGTTTGGTACCTCCACAGAAAGTCAGTAATAGTGATCGATCGAGCAAAGATTTGACTACTCACTTTTTTAACGAAACGGCGACGGCATCATTAAACAAATCAAACAGCAACAATCAATCCATGTATTTCTGCTTCGCGGAGTCACAGGCTCGCAGTGGGGTCCGCCTGGCTGGCCGCGCTGACTCACGGCGGGCGCCGAGCAGAGTCAAGGCAGACGACCGGTGCCGGGTCACCGAGGTCCGTGGCCGGGCGGTGCTGCGGCGAGCGGCGGCCAGACTGCGGTCTGCGGAGGCGCGACGAGCAGGAACCAGGAAGTCCGGTGGCGCGGTAGTGTCGCCGATGCATTATGGGCCGCTCATGGGCTGTTGGCCTTGGGCTGGGGAGTGCAGCACTTTGCTTTAGCCTGCCATGTGAAATCCGGGTCTATCACGCCCAAATACTGGACCCGAAAATACATGGATTGAAGCAGTCCCCAAAATACAAAAACGGACGGATCGGGTCGGGATAATTTCCGTAATTGCTGTTGTGCCGGCTCCAACGGCTGCTATTGCAGTGCTCACTACGTGAAAAATGATTTTTTAGTAACGGTTTGATTTTTTAGAGGTGATCGGTGATTGAGCTGCCCCTACAGTAACATGTTTGGTTGCTCAGACATCAGCCGTTCCTACAAATAAAACAGCAGGGGCGGCTGGTGATACGAGTCGCCCCTACAAATAGAGTCTGATTTGTAGGGGCGGCTCAATCACCGGCCGCCACTGGAGTTGCTATTTGTAGAGGCGGCTGGTGATTGAGCCGTCCCTACAAATGCCCCAGTATATATAGCTCCTATTTGTAGGGGCGGCTCAATCACCAGCCGTCCCTACAAATGACCCACGTATAAACCAAACTGCAGCACCTTCTTTCTTCTCGGGTCACTCACTCCAATCCGTGAAAGAAATGTGGGGAGGCCTTGGGCACCTCCCAAAAATTTCTCTACTAAGGGGGAAAGGTTTTGGTCTCAAATCCTTTGGTGGAGGGGTTGTGGAAGGTAAGAAAATGCTATTACATACTTTTTTTGAAGTTTTAATGGTTGGTTAGTGAGTAATTAAAGTTTTATTTTTCCCTCTCTTCTATGGTGCTTGAGCTACTTATGAAGCAAATTAGACCCAAGTATTAAATATACTAGGGTAAATTAGGGAGGGGAACAAGATCATACCCTTATTTGGTCTATGTTTCATGATTTTAGTGAATAATTAGTTAGTTTTATGGATGTTTCATGTGCATGTGGATCTAGATCTAGGGTTTGGTTTTTTTATTAATTTTGTTTTTGTAAATTTATGTTTGATGAAATTGGGCTAGGGTTTATATGAAAGATATTCGGTAAAGTATAATTGTTGCTAATTGTTGTCTTTGAAATTGTTTATTGTAATCAATAAATATGTATTTTAATTATTTATGGATAAGTGGGTCATTAATTAATTTTCCTCTACCATGGCGTGTTTGTATGCTTCATGTAATTATATTAGATTTATATTCATATATATTTGAAGCATATACAATTATTCTCAAGTAATTATTACTTTGATTCATTTTTATATATATTTGAATAAGTAGTCCTTTAATGTTTGTTTTGGTGTTGTTGTAAAAGATGGAGTACAGAAACTCTTGGATATATGGTTCGTTAAGGTTCAAGTCAGATTTTCGTGAAGAGGTGGATAAATTTATTGAAGCCACAAAGAAGCATGCAACGACATTGAAAGAGAATAAGGATACAATTATTTGTCCATGTAAAGATTGCAAGAAACGTATGGCATGGACAGATGTGACTATCATCAGATCACATTTGATTATGCGAGGATTTGTTGAGGACTACACAGTGTGGATTCATCATGGTGAAACGGTTATTGTTAACGACGAGGATGAGGAGGAATACGATGAGGATGAGGAGGAATACGACGACGAAACCATAGAATCCCTGTCCCAATATTCAGTAGAGCTTGATGCACGAATGGATTTCAAGTTTGGTAATGAACAAGGTGGTGATGCTAGTAGTTGGGATGGTAACGACGAAGGTGGTGCCAATAATGATGGTGGAGCACGTGTCGGGGATGAAGATGATTTGGGGGACATGATTCGAGCCCTTGGATCAGAGATTTTACTAAATAGTCCGAAAGGTATAGAAAATTTGAAAAGAGTGACAAAAGCATTGAAGGAGACTGTGTATGGTGTTTAAAATGACTGTCCGACACATTGGACATTGCTACGTTTTGTGCTTGAACTGCTCATCCTAAAGGCTAAGTACGGCTGGTCAGACTGTAGTTTCAATGATCTATTGCATCTCCTGTCATGCATGCTGCCACAACCAAACTCAGTTTCCGTCTACACATACCAAGCGAAGAAGGTCATAAGTCCATTGATAATGGGGGTTGAAAAAAATCCATGCATGCCCCAACCATTGTATACTTTTTCGTGGCGAAACGTTCAAGTCACTGGATAAATATCCTCGGTGTGGGACCAGCCGGTACAAGAACAATGACCTTTATAGTGGGGACGAACCCTCCACGTGGAAAAAGAGGAATAAGAAGGGTACAAAAAAGGTGGTACAAGAATCTCAACCACCAGAGGACACTCCATTAGGCAACGATGCAAAGCAAAGAAGAATTCCTGCCTTGGTAATGTGGTACCTGCCAGTGACCGACCGCTTGAGACGTATCTTCCTAAACCCTAAAGAAGCCACACTCATGACATTGTGGGATGATGAGCACAAGATGGATGATAATAAGATTGCACACTCAGCTGATTGTAGTCAGTGGCAAAGGTTTAATGAGAAGCACAAAGAATTCAGCAATGACCCAAAGAATGTACGGTTTGGCTTGAGCACCGATGGAATGAATTCCTTCAATGAGAGGATGAGCGACCACAACACATGGCCAGTGATCTTGACCATGTACAACATCCCAACATGGTTGTGTCAGAAGAGAAAGTACCTTCTTCTCACTATTTTTATTTCTAGCCCTAAACAACCAGGCATTGATATAGACGTATTTCTCGAGCCTTTGATGTAAGAAATG